GTTTTAAAATTACCTAGTTAAAAAAATATTACCTAGGTAAAAATCAAATTTACCTGAAGAAAAAAATTACCTACAACATATACGACCCAAGTGGCCCATCAAACTGGTACTTATCTCTGGTTTCTGTGGCAAGAAGTGACTAGTCAAAAATGCTGGGCTACCCCCAGAATTTTATTCGCCGGTACACATTTATATAAGTGAGACCATAATCCTTGATTTATACCCCTATGCAAGACAACAAGCATCCCCAAACTTTTCATATGGGAGTCCTGCCGGGAAAATACCATCCCAGGGATTATATGAAGAAGTTGACAATATAGCAGTATTAAAGTGCATCTCTGTCGATGATAAAAAAAAAAAGAACAGAAAAAAAACAAAAAAACATGTGAACACCCTCCCCACCCTAGCTTCAATTCTAAATAATTCTCTAAATAATTCTCAAAGCTAAATATAACCTGGTCCCCCTGGCAAACAACAACACGATATCAACTAAATACCTACCAGAAACATTGAGTTTGCCTCCTAAAAACCATTTGTGTTGTCCTTTATCCAAATCCACGTCCATGACTGAATCAAACGGCTTCATCCAAGCCAAACGCGTCGCCCCAAGTTGCCCCCAAAACGTCTCAGGATCGCGGATACTTTGTTGATATAGCTTCTCCCAGTCGCGAGTAACATGATCAAGCTGAGGTGGAGTGTATTCATCTGTAAAGAAAGACGACACTCGACGGCACAATACAGGACAAATCCGAGGACGAAACAATCTTCGGGCAACGAAAATACCCGCCATGTTTGGCACTTCTCAGCGCGCAATTTCGTGCTAGACCCGTGACCTCCCCCGACAAGGATACTTGGCACGTGACTCTCTTTTTTTCTTTTTACTTTTCTTTCATCGACGATCGTCCCGAAAATTGAAACCTCCATTGTTTTCGTAATTAAATTGAGTTTATTTTACATGACTCCACAAGCTGATAGCTTTAATATCATAGTGTTCATTTATTTATTTAACTTTTTTGACTCTGTAGTCCCGGAAACTTTTCAGGCCTGCAAAGCCATTTTCAATTAACCTGTATCTAAAAACAGAGAGCTGCATACGCCTGAAACTTCTTGTATGAAGAGAACCTCTGTTTATATTAAGATATGTCAATTAAACAGCTGTAATCATAAGGTTTGAGATTTTGCAACGGCATTTGGGTTGCGAAAACTTTTCGGAACCTTCAGCCTTTTAAGGCTGTTCCCTATGAAGGTTCCATACCGGAAGATATAGAAATCTTATCTTCCGGTACGGTGCAGGAGTCGAGCGGTGGAGGATGAGGAACCATTCGGCCGAGCTTATTTTTAGAAACTTTTCCACGTAGACTGGCCATGGAGGATGGAGAACCATTTCCGGATCAAGCAAGACACAGGTATAAAAATTATTTACTGGAAACTCCTTTGAACATTTGCCATAGTTTCTTGCATTTCTTGCCAAAATGGTTACGTGATCAGGACACGCTCTTGATATAATAATATATTGAACATAAGTCATACGTGGAAGTTGATAAAGGGAAAATTTTTAACACTCCGGAAACTAACAACTTCCGTCTTTATTTTCTCTCAAAATGGAAGTAAAGCGCTTTACGTTATCGTCAACAATATTATTTAAATGCTACATGCATTTCTACCGTTTCTTTGGCTTTTCACTTGTTTGAATGGACTTTTGTCCACGGAGAATCTGGCTTTTCGGCAGATAATCGATAAAAGAATACCGTATATTCTTAGGTAGAATACCGTATATTCTTGGAAGGTGCAAATGACCGGAAGTAATAGTGAAACAGAGGAAAGAGGGGAAATTATTTTGTCACGTGAGACAAATATATTACTGGCTGTAAACCAATCAGAAGGTCGGAAATAAGAATCGGGGATTGCTGCCGAAACCGTCTATGTCGGGCGAATTTTGTTATTTGTGTTTTTTCGCCCTGGAAAGCCTTCGTGGCTTCAACTTGTGAGAAACATGACCGAGAATGGTTTTGAAAACTCTGGATTAATTCACCACGAGCTCAGAAACGGTATGTATTTCTTCAGAGTGTCTTGCGCGGTTAAAATGTCTGGCATATTGGTAGTCTGTACGTAAACAATTCTGTGTAGAAGCTTAGTGTTGGACAACTTTTGTTTTATTCCTTAGCTAATTTAACAGGACATGAAGACGAAAAGGTTGGACTGGAGAATTTTGAGCTTCTTAAAGTGCTTGGAACCGGAGGTAAACAAGCTTAGTTGTGTTTCCTTTGCAGGGGATTCTTTGCAAATCTTGCGTGAACCTGTGTGTGTTTTAGGTGAGTTTCAAGCCGTCCTCGGAGGTGTTGACTTTGCTTACTTTTTCATTTGACAGCTTACGGAAAAGTTTTTCTCGTTCGTAAGCGAGGCGGATACTTTTCGGGGAATCTGTACGCGATGAAGGTGCTTAAAAAGGCTACGATTGTCCAGAAGGCTAAGACAGCTGAACACACACGCACAGAAAGACAAGTGTTGGAAGCCGTTCGCCGGTGTCCATTTTTAGTGACATTACATTGGGCTTTCCAGACCGAATCGAAGCTTCATTTGATTATGGGTAAGCTTGCGTTTTGCGTCGAACATTTAAAGTTTCACACACAACATGCCTGAAGAAACCCTTCGGAAGCCAACTAAGAGATTCACGACTTCAAAATCGTAATGATTTTCTGTCATGTCGTAAGCCTATTTTGTGTCACGTTTATTCGAAGCTTACATCGCGACACGATTTCAGTAAATAACCTTTCATTTTCAAGCAGACTACGCAAAACCTTGATCCGATATCGAAAAATTATTCAATCTCAAGCTAAAGCGTATATTTGGTTATATTTAATACTCTGATATTTGTTTTAACTTGTTAACCTCGTAGATTACGTGAATGGCGGAGAACTTTTCACCCATTTGTACCAAAGAGAGAAGTTTACTGAAGACGAAGTTAGAATATATATTGGAGAAATTATTATTGCAATCGAGCATCTTCACAGAGTAAGTTAAACGTGTACTTGTTGTCCACGTCCAAACAAAACCTGTTTTCGAGCGCGTAAATCTTAACTGAAAGCATACAGTTATTAACTTGTATCAAATTTAATTTGACATACTGTACATCCTTGTGTTCATATCATAGAAGCTAAGCTTTTTAGTCATTTACATGGTATAAACGTAACAGTTTTCAGACCTCTCACGTCTTTGCCTTTTCCTATAACTGTTTTCGTGCAGGCATGCAACCGTGTTATAAAGGCAGTAAGGTTATCGCAAATCATTTGTGACCAAATAAAGTGACAATCGACATACATTTCTTTTTCAGCTCGGAATAATTTACCGTGACATCAAATTAGAGAACATTTTGCTGGACTCAGATGGTCATGTCGTGATTACGGACTTTGGGCTGAGCAAGGAATTTTCAACACCCAATTCGGTGAGCTAATTGCCTCCATTTAATAAATGCTTAGTATTATTCCATTTGTCTATTTATATTAATATTTCTACAACTCTGCGATAAATTAAACTAATGCTATAAAATCTAACGGATTGTGTATTAATCCCAGGGGGAAAGGGCATATTCATTTTGTGGTACAATTGAGTACATGGCCCCTGAAGTCGTTAAAGGTGGAAGCAGAGGACATGATAAGGTATGTACTAAGAAATAGTCTCGAGATTTCCATAATCCCTCAATTAATAATGCATACAGTTTTGTAACCTTTCTATTCTTGACTGCTATTCGTGCATCAAGGATTATGTGGAATAAATTGTATGCGTAAGCATAATGAAGTCTGGAACTACACAGGATGCTTTCCAAATCCTTTCTCCTAAAGATGATAATTAACATTTTGATTGAGGCAATAATAAATTCTGTACAGTGAATTTGGAGTGTATTACTATAAATTAGTATACATGTTAGTCATGGTAATTTTCTTCAATTATGCTAGTCTAATTACAGTCACATGCCTCGCTAACAGTAAGCAACTTAATGGTAGCAGGGCACTATTATTTCTATAAAACATCTTGCATGTGCCTCTTCTACTTTGCTTTCACCTTCACTCCTAAGAGGTGATCAAGAACCTTTATCTTGGAAACTATTGTTTAAACATAGCTGTCTACAGGCCTTGCAAAGAACCTCCCATTTTGGTATAGGCATAAATTCATGCATTCTCAAAATTTGACTTGGTCATGAGAACTGTTGTTAAAGATGCAAAATGGTAAATGGAACACAAATTTCTATTTGGAACATTCCACTGTAGAAAAGGGGACTACCATTTCNATCATCATCATTACCTCAATGAGCTCTAAACCTGAACCCGTGATATGGTCACATGATACTGGTCAGCAGATACCTTGTTTCGACAGGTGTCAATTGACCATAACATATGTCCAATATCAAAGATGCTGTAAACCAAAGCTGCAAGCCTTGGTCAACCTATTGTTGGAGTATGGCTGCCATGTTTCGCAAGTTTGTCATTTTCGTCATAGGGCACACATGCCCATGATCCATGCCACTAGCCATGCTGACCATGAAAAAAGAGTTGCATGGTTTTCTATTTCTATGCATGCATGTGGTTCTCTCCCTATAGTTACGGTGCTCTGCTATATGATATTTTAATGACAAAGAAAATTTGAAACTTCAGTGAGTCTGCTTGAAATAACATTCATTTGATTCTTGCTGTTTCTTTTTTCCAGAATTTGCTGTTTGTAGATAATTCAGACAATGCAGAATTGAAAATTGTTGACTTTGGCTTTGCAAGACTAAAGCCTGAAAATCAACCATTACAAACACCTTGTTTCACTGCTGCTTATGCTGCTCCTGAAGTGATTAGTCAGACTGTGAATCGAAGTGGCTATGATGAATCATGCGACTTGTGGAGTCTTGGTGTTATCATGGTAAGCTAAACAGAGTCGTAGTTCTATTTCTGTGTAAATGCCATTTTGAATAGAAGCTAAGCAATCTTTGTGTAAATGCAATTTACATGAAAATGCCAATTTGGAAACTAACATTAATTCTAACTTGGCTCTGAGGCTTTGGGGAATGAAACAAAAGAATTACTTTCTCACTCTACTTACTCTCTCAACCTTGATGTGATTTCTTTTGTTTTATTCCCCCAAGCCAACTGGAGTTAAAGTCCTATTATATCAAAATTGGCCTATTGCTTTTTGGGGGGACCTCTTCGTTTTCATCAGTCTGTTAACTTCCAAAATTCGTCATATAAAAACTCACTCAGTCATCCTCTTTCTTTCTTTCTTTGAGTGCAGCATAGGGCTGCCCAATAGCATCTTCCATCCTTCATGGTCTTTTCATGACCTCATTCTGCATAGTCCAGCATAAAGTAAAAGGCCAGCATCTATTCTTCAGGGGTTTTTTCTGCATGTGTTTATATTTCTTCCTTCCTGTTGGCCATTGATACTTGTCCAATTTATTTTATTGCCACTTTCATCTCCAGTACACCATGCTGTCTGGTCAGGTACCATTCCAGAGCAGTCGTAGTTTTCGATCAGCAGATTTTATAATGCAAAGAATCACGCAAGGGGACATCCGATTTGAAGGGCAACAGTGGGAATCGATATCTCCAGCAGCAAAGGACCTTATCAAAGGTATATCATTTAATTGTAGGGCTCTTTGACATTTTGATGCTGTGTTGTTCATTTGGACAAGGCTTACTGTGAAGGAGACTACCTTGTAAGTTTACTTTCAAGAAAAATTTTAAAAATTTCCAGTGAAGTCCTGACATCCCAAGTAGAGAAAGATGTTGCTCATATCGAGTTAAGATACTGTTACGTGACTCTGTAGTAGACATAATAAGAAATGAGATACTGATTCTGGCCCTAGAATGGGATGTCACTAATACAATGTAGATTCCCACCGTATTTCCTTTAGAAAGACGTGGTGAAAGTGACCGCAAAAACATTGGTTCTGCTTCGGTATATCATTTCTTATTATGTCGCTCACTAGTTTCCTACTGAATTTCCTTGGGAATTTGTGGGTAAATTTTCAATGAGATGAATTGTTGACAACATAACATACATGTATCATTTTCCTTTAGTTCCTTCAGTTGCTGGAATCAACTGTTTCTCTCTCTTTAACAGGACTTCTAACAGTGGATCCTAGCCAGAGGCTAAAAGTAAGAGAAGTTGTTCACCATGAATGGTTAAGGGGAAGTACCTGTTTGCCACATACTCCACTCATGACCCCTGGCATTTTGGGTAAAGGACATAAAAGGACTTATGTGGAATCTGCACTTAATGTAACATACGATGCTTTTAACAGAGCACACAAAGAAGGATTTACACTAATGGATGTTCAACAAGCGCCACTTGCTAAACGACGGAAAAAAAACAAGACAACATCGACAGACAGTAGATCTACTACAAGTAGTGATCTTAGCAACAGCGGAGGAACGTCACCTTTGTTAAATCCAAGATGACAAGGTGAACTGAAGGGTAATTGAATTGACGTAGTCGACAATGAATAGTAAAATAAATTGACTGTAGATATGTGTGGTACACTTCAAGTGAGACAAGAGTAATTGTATAAGCAGGATAGATTTGCAATGTTAATAATACTTATTATGATAACGAACAAAGATGATATATTATTATCAAGTTCACCGGGGAATCTAACAGCCACGTACAGTTCTGTTCTAGTGGGCGTTAACTTAATTTATTGCATGATTTGAATATTAGGTGTACATTAGTTCTCATTTCCAATTTAAAATTTTCTAGACAAAATGTCAATAATGATTATTATTTCCAATAATACACCAGCAGATTTTGAATAGTTTACTTAAGTTTATATAAGTCATTGTTGGGATTGTGTACTTTTACTCTTGCTTTTTGAAGACAATATCAAATTAACACAGAATTATATAGTGCTTTAATTTATGAATGTAATCATACATTTAACTAGTTTATTGTTGGTTTGTCCCAGAAGAGCTAGTTAAGGTGTTGCTTACAATTTCACAAGGTACACATGAGAAAAAAATCATGTAGATTTACAAAATTAATGAAGTCATAATATAATACCTTCCAAAGTAATGACTAATCACACACTCACTCTTCAAATGTAATTTGCAGGTAACATTTTGCAAACCCTGTTTCTAGCATAAATTGGCCAAAAAATTCAACGCAATGCAAGTATTTTTAGATAGTTCACCGCTGTGCCTAACTTAAAAAAAACATTTTACCTGTAAAACTTTTAAGACCAACCAATGGATTTTTTATTGCCCTTATGACAACCTTACATCATTAGTTAAGGTTAAATTCTTACTTTCAACAAGTAATTTGATATAATTTGTAAAATAGTGGTGAGGTACACGTACCAGGTATTTTGTTGAGTAACACATGGTGCTCAGTGGGTGAAAATTAATTTTGTGGGACTTTTGCAAGAGTCATGAATTTTCACCTTGGTAAAAATTTCTTCCCAGGACAAGTAATATAATATTTTAGTTGACGTAGATGTTGCTTACACAATCTTTACCCAGGTGAATGTATTACATTAGCGTGATCTTGAATTCATCCTGGGAGAAAACTGTTATCAGTTATCCTCCAGGGAATCATGTTTGTAAGCAATCGACAAAGAAATAGTTCAATAAGTTACAGTGAGAGGAGAATTAAATCCTTTCTGTTGGTGAAATGTTACTTTAGAAGCATTTTAAGAGATTCCATTGTAAGATTTAGAAAAAAACTGTAACCAAGCAGTCATAATTGGCAACAAGTAAACAACATTTGGGAATAGCCCTTTTTACAGTTTGTTTGTTTGTTTGTTTGTTTTTCAGTGTAATCCAACATGGATGCGAGGCAAGTTGGGGCTTTAAGTTCAAAATGGCCCGAAATTCCCTCATTCATGCTTGATTATATTGTCAGTAGTGAAAAGTTAACTGTGAAAAGGGGTATTGAAACTCATCCGAAGCCTAAATTTTGATGGATATGCTTTTTAAGTGAGCACGGTGTGCTTGGAAGTTTTTATTTATTTCTTATCCTTGTTATAATTACTGTAAGAATTATTTTTGTAAGAAAATGTAAAAAGACTACTAACAGCACTAATTAAATAAGTGGCTGTTTTTTAACGTAGCTTGGTTTTGGCAGGGGGTGTTGTTTTTAGAAAAATAGAGATCATTTAAAATTAGAACAAACTGTTTTTATGTAGTAATTGATAGTTGTGTATCTGTGCTAACAGCCTTCTTTGGTTGTTGCCGCTTGCACAAGAAATAAAATGGCAATAGCTGCTTTTGCAAGCTTGAAAGCAGCTTTCACAGAGCACTGCCAGTTGTTTGTAGCAGGGTTAAACAATTGATGTCATCTGGGAACAAAGTAGATTCTTTTGAACTAGGGTTTATTGCACATAAGGTCTTATGACAAAGCAATAATCATAATTTTCTAAAATAATAATTATTGCTAGTCCTCCATCAGTACATTAAATCCAGTGGTCACAGCTATATCCACATAGTTTATTTCAGTAACTTACAGCTGTGTTGCTGGGCGAGAATTTTATGGGTGAATTGTTGTAATTAATCTTCCTTTTTATAGGCAATCTAAATCTGGGCCGGGTTGTTTAAAATATGGATCACACTATCCGTGGGATAAATCACTATTCAGTGGATAGTGCTAGCACGATTTGATTTGTTAACACTTATCTACTGGTTAGTAATTTATACAGTAGATAGCATTCTCCACCTTTTAAACAACCCAGGCTTAGAGTACACGGTCACTATTATTGATTGCATGCCCTTTGACCCTGTTATGAGGTCACAATTATAACTCATTCATCTTTACAATTCTCCCTTCTTGCCTGAACAAATGCCTGGATCTGCCCCCGTAAAAGACTGCTACCATTGATAGTATATTAGGAATAGAGAGTGAATGAATGATTTCTTTGAACATTGTGCACTTTATAATTAAGGAGTGAGTACAATACTGTTTGACCTGGAAAGTGGAGTGTGGTTGGTTTGGGATGATGCATACCCTGAAGGTTTGTAATTGTGGTTTTGTCTTCAGGGTATGTATTTGATAGGTGGGAGGTGGCTAACAATATTAGTGTGAATAAAAAGGTTGCTAATTATCAAGATTGGAAATAGAGTAACTTATTGTACATATAATGGCACAGAAATACTAGACTCAAAAATAAACGAAGCTTTCAAAAAGCTTCAAACTCAGAATATCAATTATTTTGTCTTTATTGATCTTGTACATACCCAGACATCTGAAGGTCTTATCCTGTCCATTTGATGCTGATAAACCAGCTTTTTCGCTTGGTAGTTGTTTGTCTATTTGAATTTGTTCATGTATCTGGATGGCGAACTCATTAAATCAACTAAACTACAAAAGCACACAAAGGAAAAATTAACAAAAAGATCCACTTGCGCTAGAGTTTCCGGGATTCACTGGAAGATGTGTTGTGCAGAGTCTAATATGCATATGCAAACACTCCATGTACCTTGCAAACTTTTCAATTAGGGTACAGTGGGGCACGATTGGTTACTGAATTGATATTTCGTTTAATTTGACAATGCCTGTTTTCTGCCGTGGAATTTGCTTAGGAGTAAAAAGCAAATGCCCTTCAATGTAGTGAAAGAAGAACGGAGTCTGAAAAAAAGAAAAGCTAGTCTGTTGTTATTCAATCAACGCAACACAACACAACCTTATAATTTCCCACGTCTTTTCTGTTTACCACCACCCCACTCACCTCCACTCAAAGTTTTTGTGATGTACATTGCTCTTGAAATACATCCCTATCATCATGGTATGTTTTCCCACTGACATTATTGTACGGTAGTGTCATCTCACTTTTGCTGCCTGTAATTGTTTGACAACCTGCCAATGACAACGCAGCACTGAAATTTTAGGACCTGTTCACAACTTAACAATGATGACTTGCCGCTAATATAATTCACATTTCAATCAAAGTCTGAAGTTCAAAACCTGACTAATGACTGCCTTTTTGACTGCCATCAATCATAATCATAACACAGTGACAACCAACAAAGTCTGATTAGTTTTGCATGCATTGAACATGGATGGAAAGTTAGAGAAAATGTCCAGGAATTTTGCCAAAATCTCATAGCAAAATCTTTCAGCTGATCAAGCTTGCCACTGTAGGATTGTGATTGAGAAATTAAAATTTATTTGAAAAAGGTATACTGTAGAATAGGTTTGCATCTTAGGTCTCAAAGAACATTACCATTTACACCTTGGTCAAGCACTCTCCAACCCATCACTCCCCCAAACCACCTGCCAGGATCTAATTAAGCTGTTCACAGAAGGGCTTATGTTTGGTCATAATACACCAGCTTTATTTTTTAATGAGAAACTAAATAAGTAAAATACCACAACTAACTACATGTATACAATTCTGAATTTAAAGGCAGACTGTTTCTTCCAAATGATTCTAAAAATGCACTATGATCGGCTCGTGTCCAGTTGCTTTGACATATTTCATGAAATCTTCAGGTTTCATTCCGGTCGTCGCTTCATTGCTCATGGGATGAAAATACACTGTTTGGTGGCTGTCTTCTACAAAGCTTGCATCTAACAAGAACGTAACTTCCTGCTTCGTGTCATTGAACAACGATAGAGGTGTAACACATCCCTGTCCCACACCGAGTTTTTCCAACATGACTTCTTCATCCGCGAATCGAAACCCTCCACTTGCTCCAACCTTTTTGGCAAGATCGCTCAAGCTGACCTCGCGAGTTGCCAAAGCTGTGAAGAGCCACAGTCGTTTTTTCTTTTTATCCTTGAGGAAAAGATTTTTGCTGTGTGCTCCTGGGAGATGGCCGACATACGGCATCATGGCTTCAACCGTAAATACTGCAGGATGTTCAATTGTCTCTGAAGTAATTCCCAAATTTTCAAGGTATTCCATCAGTTCTTTTCGTCCACCAGACATTCTGGAAATGTTTCTCAAAACTCACACCAATATTACAAAGAAGCCGGTATATGGCGAGCAATTCCGATTAGTACTTTGTGTAAAGTATCGTCTGGCGTACCACATTCCTTCTGATAGATGAAATAGTAACAAGTCTGACAAGGATAGAAAGAAAGGTGATTACAAATATTGACTTAAACACGATTATTCAATAACACGAACTTCGCATCCACAATGATGACAAGCTTTAAAAACATTACAGGGATTATTCCAGGCCACATTATTTTACGAAACACGAAGAAGCGCATATCTTTCTAGCTCTACAGGACACTTCATGTAACGGGACATGACGAGAACAAAAACACCGCTGTAATGTTGCAGGCTGTTGTGTCCTCTCTGCCGGTGAATCATGGAGGATGGGGATGGAAAGCCTTATTGAAATGAGTAGATTGCTGAGAGTCAAGGTAAAACCTCAGGTAAGAAAGCATTTAGGATGAGGGCTGAGCCGTTGAGGAACTCTTCATTTACGGTTTGCAACAAGCTATTGCAAAGTAAACAACTGTTAAAGCTGGATGCATGCAATTACTACAGTATACAGTCATGTATTAAGCTTATGTAAGCCCATCTCATATTGCGCTTATAAGCTTACTTGTAAACTGTAACTGACTAAGGGCTATGCTTCAGAGTAAAATTGGAAAACTTCCTTTATATTTACTGAATTAGCATCTCAATCCCAAATTTATTTAATATTATTAAAGTAGCTCAGATTCTGTTCCTGTTATTTACTTTGAATTATTCCTGGGTCATTTGTGCAGACGCTGCGAACGGGTAAGCGTAGAACTTGATTCTGCTTTGGTAATACTATACAGTTGAACCTTTCCACAACAATCACCTTGGGGACAGAAGAAAGTGACCTTTGCAGAGAGGTAGCTGTTATGGGGGTAGGGGTGTAATGTGACATCGGATTTTTTGGGTGCAACATTTTTTCGATTTTTAAAAATGCATATTTTAGCATATATAAATCAAAATATATCAATAAAACAGAAACTTAAGAGAAACAGAGACCAATGACATGAGGTACAAATCAAGTCTGGTGACCTTTTGCAGTAAAGAAATGGGATTTTGTATACACGTTTTGTCGGTGGTTGATTATCTGGCAATTGTTGGAAGGTTATTTTGGTAGTTGGGACGAATTGTAGTGGCCGTTGCCCTTATAGAGAGGTAGCCATTGTAGAGAGGTTAACACAAGATTGAATATATTGACTGTTCACCAGGACGAAAAAAAGTAGCCGTTGTAGAGAGGTAGCTGTTAGTGTAGGTTCGATGATATATATCTATCCCGACCTGTTATTCTGTTGTACCAGAAAATACTGTGGTCATTTCCACCAAAAGTTTCTTAGCTTTACCCCCACCCACACCCCTCTGGAAATTCCAGGTTGGATTTACACTTTCTTTCAAAAATTTTCAGCAACACATTACCTCCCTGGAACTTCTTTTTTTCATTCAACCTTTGTAAACACTACGGTACCTTAATTGTTTTAATGGTCTTGAATTGCAGCATATCCCTCTAGCTTTGTAATTATTCCAAAGTGGTCAGTGTAAATGCAGACCGTAGACTAAAGACCTTTTAGATATACATCAAGTTATTTCCATGATAAACAGGATTATTCAAGCTAATTGCAGTGCAAGTGTGCACTCTGATCAGCCTAAATATCACTCCAGTTAGACTGAGTATCACTCCAGTTAGCCTAAATATCACTTGGGTTAACCTAAATATCACTCGAGTTAGCCTAAATAATGCTCTGGTTGGCCTGTTTACAGTAACTGTTAACTCCCAATGCAATTCTACCCTCGGTCCACAGTCTTCAGTCTGCTGTCCGTAGTCTACATTTTATACTGACCAACTTCAAAGCTAACTACAACTATCAAAACGTGATAAAGTGTTATGCTATGCTTTAGATTGTCCACTGCTTTTGCCGTGGATACTCTGTGTATTACTCAAGACCAATTACTAGTGCATGGAAATTCATTGGGAGAAATTTCAAACATGAGGACTCTGTAATGAAACTTAAGGTAAGTATGCTCAATTGATGCAGTTCAACCCTCCATAAGTCAAGACAGTGAGCATGTTGGGACAAGAAAAAGCAGCTGCTTAAAATTGAAAAATTGAGAAATAAAACACCATCCTCCACATAGAAAGCAGCTAAACTGAGTTTATGAAATAATCTGAGACAGAACTACCAGAAATTGTGCGAATAATAAAATTGACAGTGTGAAACTACTCCTGTAATTGAAATTCTTTTGATAACTGAAAATGTGAAATTTGTAATAAGGTAGTGACTTGGTGCTGTCATGTTCTCACAGGAAGATGGAAAATCTCTTTCTGCTTCTAAACAAAAAGCCCCAACCATTTCCTAAATAGGTTTAACTAACGTCCTTTACACTAAGAAAGTACAGGGCTCCCAAGAAAAGAAAAGAAAAGAACCGAGAAAAAACTCTGTCCAGCATTTACAGTGTTCACACAGTCTCTGATTTGTTTTTCTCAACAGTTCTTTGGCTATACTAGAAGAGTAGTAGAGTTGAGATGGCGGCATACTTTGTCATCAAGTCTGGAATCAAAGGTATGTAGTATGTAGTTGAATGCTCATTTCAGAAGTACATCTTTGAGGTAGTTAAAGTACCTGGTGTGTTGCCAAGTTCAATCAAGAACAGATTATATGTAATTAGATGGTAAAATGTGAGTCAGATTGTTCTGAATCGTACTGCTTTTTAAATGTGTGAAGTAAGTTGTAAATTGAGGCATGATGCAGTAACAAGATGATTTTAATTTAATTTAGTTCAATCTAACCTCTACGAACAACCATCTACCTGCAATGGCCACCTTTCCACAATGGCCAGTAAACTCTGTCCCCGGGTGGCTGTTACAGAGAGGTTCAACTCTGATCAGTTAACTTTCACTGACCTCACAATTTGTAAACAGTCTACCTGGTATTGATCTATTATTCACTTTGAAAATAAATTTAGACCTCATTTGTTTTGTTTGTTTGTTTGTTTGTTTGTTTTTGCATTTATTTTACAAGATGTCAATCGTCATTAGACCAGACATGACCATCAGGCAGCTTGCTTCAGAGATGAATGTTGATCCAGGTTAGTATTTAACTAACAGCCTCTTTTAACTCAGGATTAAGACACATTATTACAATGGCTTGTGTTTGTAGCTGATGTAATGTGCACTCTGACTAGCTTGCTCTAGAGCATCAATTTACTGTTATGTAATAACCACAAACCGATTATGGGCATGTTTTTAAACAAAGTAAAAAAGCATAATAGTAAACTACTTATTAACCTCAAACATTCAGTCTTTATGGGAAAATCTCATACCTCAGTCTTGCTCAGTCAATACAGCGAGGTCTCTGTTTGAGATTTTCCTGTGAAGACCTCACTCTTGGTTAATGAGTAGTTGTGATAACGTTCAAAATTTGTATTGACTGTTCCCTAGAATTACAAGTTCTTTTTTGAGATTTTCAAGTTTAGAGAATGACCTTCCTTAATCTACTTTTAATTTTTAAGCTGGTAATGAGAACATTTAATAGATGCCATCTGACAGGGTGTGGGAAAGGATAACAAGTTATGCGGAAAAATGCATTGATCATGCGGAAAACACACTGGAGTAGGTGGAAATTTCAGCAGTTAACAAAATTTACAACAAAGCCTTTCCAATGTACTGAACAACAGTGAAATGAAAAGCACTTCCCAAAGTCTTACCCAAAGTTTAAGCTCTTTAATAGAATATACTTATTTAACATCTAATTTTGCATAGAGAATTCGTTGTTGCGTTTTTGGAACATCTGTAACTTGGTAACCAGGCCCCAGGCATTACATTCGTCGGTGAAAAACTAGTTTCCAGGCTCTTCGCCTTAAGTTGGTTGGAACACCTGGAGGTTAAAAATTTGTCACAAACAAAATGGCATGTTTTTGTCGCTAGTTTAGGAGAAAAACTATTTCAACATAATTACTCTTCATAATTTTCACTTGTGTGAATGTTAAGCAGCTGCATTGTTGCTAACATGAAACACCTTTTCTGTTTTATTTGGGAAAAAGCCCTCTGATGATGTGGAGTCAGATGTTAGCAAATTATGCAGATCCACACCACTGCATCCTGTCAGATACCCTGTAATAATAAATCAATGAAATTATTTTTTTTTAACTATACAACTGTAATGCAACGTAATTCTATTTGTGTAGTAGTAAGTTTAAAACATCTGCCAGTAGTGTATTAATTTTAAAAAAATTCTGTAGTGTATTGTGGATGGTGATTTTTATTAAAAATATGTAATCCAATTTTAACAACAGGTACTTTAGCTGATATGCTGAGTGACCTTGGAGAGGATTTACCACATGGTTTTTTCACAGGTATAATGTGTTCTTTGTGAAATGGTGTCGAGTTCTTTTTCTACAGTACTGGGGCACCTGCTATGCTGTCGTAACACACACACACATGCAATACTTAGCATCAGCAACAAGATAGCAGGGTGTAAAAGAATATTCTTCATCAGGAAAACAAAGTCTGTGCATATTAATCTTCAGACCTGGCGTATGTTGTGTATGGTACTTGTCTTGAATCATTTATTACTAAAATTTAACTCCTTTGTCCATTTGATGATTCATCCAATCTCACCCAGCTTCATCTATCTATCTTTACTTTTCTATCTTTTTATCTTTACCTTTCTGAGTGGATCTAAGTTTACAAGTTTGTACAGTGAGACATCAAAGGCATATGCATGACCAAGCAATGTACTCAGTGTAAACAATGATGATGTTTCTGTGATATTTTACAGTGCTTTCACCTGACCTAGCAGAGCTGTTGGTGTTGGAACATAAATTGACTCCCACTCACTCAGATATCAAAGAAACAGCAAGGTTAGTAATGCTTTAATTAGTTACAAGTTAGCGATGAAAGGGGTGCGTGGCTCGGTCCATAAACCTGCAAGAAAGGAAGTCAACCAATATTAATTTTCTCCATTACAGTCCTCATACTAGTTCAATAACACAGTCATGTGTATACATGTATGAATATAATAAAATAATATCTGTTTGCCTTTTGCTAGATTTTCCCTTTTACCGAGACCACCAGTAGTGACAATCATGGGTCATGTTGATCATGGAAAAACCACACTCTTGGACACCCTGAGAAGGACTTCTGTAGCTGCGGGAGAGGCTGGTGGCATAACGCAACATATTGGTGCCTTTTCAGGTGGATAAAAAATTTAACATGATAGTAGATCAATAAAAGTTATTTGTTAGCTTAGTGTCAAGGGGGATAAAGTGTTAAGAAAAGAGTAACACTCCATTGTGAAGTTACATGTACTACACGTTAGTACAAGGTATTAAGGGATGGATCCTCATTTTGCACAGCAAAAACTGTTGAAAAACCATTGTGCAAGGGGAGCCATGAGGAAAAAAAAACAGAGCAGGCATTTCTTCTACCCATGTCCTATTTTTGGTCATTGTTAAAGAAATTCTTGCAGAAGCTATTACCCACGAAAAAATCTTTCACTACATTTCACTACATTTCTTGTTCAAGAAAGACTTTTGCTCATGTACTTACCCACTCACTCATCTGCTTCGCTCCTCGTGAGTGCAGCATAAGGCTCATGTACAGTTTTGTTTTTCTTTGCAGTTCATGTACCTGGAGCTGATAAGACCATAACATTTATTGACACTCCTGGTCATGCCGCATTTGAAACAATGCGAGCAAGGGGAGCTAACATGACAGATATTGTTGTACTAGTTGTAGCAGCAGATGATGGTGTTAAGCAGCAAACAATTGAGTCAATAAAGCATGCTACAAGAGCAAGAGGTATGAAGCCATGGAAAGTAGCTGAAACTTTTCCCAGTTTTTGTAACATGAATCAACCACTGCAGTATTAGTTACTCCCTTCATGATATAACATGGCAAGTTATCCACAAGATCTTAATTTTGCCAGGTTTCCCTTACTTACCCTTTATCAATTCCTAACAAGATGCCTTGATGAAGAGAAATACTGTGAGAGTGCATAATTAAAAGAATCTTTCCAAATGGCACAGCATATGGCATCTGGTGAAAAGTAGCCAGCTGCACGGTGGTGAAAATTACTGGGGCAGGTGTTGGGAGTTGGGAGGGGGGGGGGGGGTGGGACAGAGAGACACCTACTGGAGAGTACTGTAAAGTACAATCATATAAACTGCAGTACCCCTTGTTTCAGGTCAAACTGTTTAATACTACTGTAGGCACTCCATGTTTTCAGACTCTAAGCATTTAAGAGTCCATGAGTCAGATTTTTTGACACAACCCAACTTGTTAAAATATGTTGCATTCTATGATTGATGCACAATGTTCAAGAAGTGTGTCAATCTTGTGCTTACAGTTCCCATAATTGTGGCTATTAATAAAGTTGACAAGCCGAAAGTAAATGTGGTATGTTGGTTCATATTTGAATCATTAATTAAAGGTTTGAATCATTTATTGATTTATTATTAATAACTTAATGCTGGGTGGGAGTTATACGAGACAAATAAAGGAAACATTCCTGTTAAATGTGGTGGGGAATCCCCACTGGCAGGCAGGTGACTAGTTGGCTGTTCATAAAGTGTAGCTTTGGGCCTGTGTTACTGTATGAGACTCGCTCAAACTAAGCTAAGCTCTAATACAGGGGCAAAGATGAGTGTTTGAACCCAGTACCTATCCTGCCTCTATCCTGCCTCTGTAACAGACTGAAGTAACAATATGCTTATTAAATCCTCTTCAAGACTGATTTTTTTTTCAAGTTCTTATTTCAGTGCTGCATAAATTGTGTGTATAACTGCCATGATGAATTTTTTCTTCAAATCCTTACACGATATGCACTAACTGAGTGTATTGTTCTATGCAGGAACAAGCCAAACAACAGCTTCTTCAGCATGGAGTGCAGCTTGAGGAGTTTGGTGGAGATGTCCAAGCAGTAGAAATTTCCGCATTAAATGTACAGATGAGCAGATTATTTTTTTACCACTAACAGATGAGTGTAGGCCTGGTTTTCATAACAAAATTGTACAGTTTCATAAGATTGACTTGTTTAAATCTATGTTTGTTACTACATAACATACTGCGGTTTGCTTTCTGCAATAACCCCCTGGGGATAATGGGCTGGACATGTAATGTAACATGATATTTCTTCAAGACACCAGCAACTTAAAAATTAAAATGATTTGTACGTCTTGAAAAGGAAAGCAAGAGTTGGTACATGACCCCCCTTAACATTTCCGTGAAGGAAAATATCTAGCATTATGTTCAAAGTACTTTTAATATATAATTCAATTGGTATTTGGCTTTGTCAAAACATGCAATTGCAATTAATAGTATCATAATTTTATTAGTCTTAACTTTGGATAACAATCAGGCCTCACATCAAACTGACAGCAAATCTCCTCAAACCCCAAAATAAAGTGTGACATTATTTAATAAATTAATTTATTAATAATTAAGGAGATTATTTTCATTGCTAACATAATTTCTGTTATATCTAAAAGGGAACCAACTTTGACGCACTCTTAGAGGCAATCACAACCCTTGCAGAGCTGCATGATCTCAAGGCCAACAGAAACTGTCCTGTGGAAGGGATTGTCTTGGAGTCACGAAAAGACAAAGGGAAAGGGTAAGCACTGTTTTCTGCTTTGTGATGTGAAGAGATCTCATCTGGCCATTTCTGTCCAGAGTCTTGATGTAAATAAAGTTTCTTTTCTTTTAGTTCCATTGCAACAGTCCTTGTTAAGAGTGGAACATTGAAGAAAAGCAGCATAATTGTTTCTAATCAGGCATTTGCAAAGGTAAACATTGTTTATTAAACATTTTATTGATGTTTCTATCCTTAATGAAATTGCTATTAATTTATAGTTTGTCAGTTGAGAGTACTCCTGACCATTGCCTCAGGTATGACAAGTGGTTCAAAACTGTCTTTTTGCCTGGACTCCAAGGCAATGTGCCAAAGTTTGGCTACCAACTAGCCTAGCTGGTGACTTTTTGGGCTCTACATAACTCAGGTTTCCATAGCATGAAGTGTCTCAGAGAGTATTGCTACTTCTGCTGGATGGGATACCAGTCCACAGAGACTCCACCTAGGAATTTTCATTTATAGGATGACTGTGAGGCACTTTGAGAGTGATTCAGAGGATGAACCAAGAACCCAGACCCCTCTACAGTATGTGGAGTTTAGTGAAGTAATGATCACAAAATAGTCAGTGTCATGTGGGTCTATTGGGTCTATCTGAATTATTTTATTATGGTACCCATGATGACAATTTTTGCCTACATTGCTCTCCAGCAACATTAAGATTTTAAATTCCAGTTAAAGTGCCTGTGATCACAACATTGGAAATCTGTTATTGGTATGACAAAATTTACACTCTTAGTGTAAAGTTGGTTTGATTTTCAGTTGATCAGAGGTAGGTGCTGTTTTTCAATTTTGTTTTGTTCCATGAAATCAGCAGTTCTTTGTTGTGCACCTGTATATAGGTTCGCTTGATGCTTGATGACCGAGGCAATGTTGTATCAGAGGCCACACCTTCTACCCCAGTGGAAGTAACAGGATGGAGGAAGCTACCCTCGGCAGGGGATGAAGTTGTTGAAGTCAAATCAGAGGTAACTGCCAAAGAAATTCATTCTGTCAATGATTCAGTCATTCAAATAAGCTGAGCCAAAATGATAACTATTAATAATAATATTTGTTTTAGAGAACCGTATTTAAAATCTATTAACTCTAATCGATGTAACAAATTACTTGTGAGAAGATTTATCGCTTTCTTGTATCTTTATTTTGACCAATACGGAACAGCCCACATGTAAACTGCTTTAACTGTCTAAAAGTAGTGAATTCATTTTTCTCTCTCTGTCTCTTTCTCGCACTGTTCTCCCCACAGTTGGTGCTGAACTTATTTTTTGTGTGAAATAACTCTTGCAGCAAGAAGCTCATGATGCTGTGAGCAAGGAACAGGCAGTGTACCGTGAAAAAAAGATGTCCTCAGAAGATGTACACAACATTTTACTGGATGTACAGCTTACATACAAGAGAGAGCCTGCCCCCAAAGCACCGAATAGTGATTACGATAGCACAGACAGGTTAAATATCATAATTAAAGGTTCGTGCAAGACCAGCTAATTTAAATTAATAACAAGAAGAAAAAGAACAGTACAAACACTGGACACACAGTCTCTAGCGTTCTCCCAGTCAGCTTGTATTTTTTACTCAGCACGTTTTGTATCAGGAACCCATATGTGCATCTTTGCTAGGCATGGATATTATCAATCAGACTAATGTTGTGCTTTATTTCAGTTCTCTAAAATCTACAAAAATAGTGTCTTGCACATTTTATTGCATCTAAACAAGTTGTGCTTAGGGGTTGCACAACTGAAACCAAAAATGTATGATGTGCCTTTCCCTGGGTGGGGTATATCATGCTTGACACAGATACAAGAAATGCTTCCAGTTGATAAAAGTCTTTAAACCTAGCTGAAACTGCAAAAGAGTACTGTTATCTCAAGATGAATCAGGCCATTAGAGTACACATTTTAGCTGCAAGGCACTAAGAGCCCCTGCTTTTAAAGTAGTGAATTGTTATGAAGTAGCAAGAAAAGACTTTCCTTATCTTTAAGTAACATGCTAAAGGGTCATAATGTTCTGAACATTACAGGTATTATGATGTGAGGCATTGTTCTTTCTTGGCCATTTAGGTGATGTTGATGGCTCAATAGAAGCCATCAATGATGCCATAGCAACATACAAATCAAAGAAGATTAAGTTGAATGTGCTGTCCAGCAAAGTAGGAGCTGTCAATGAAAATGACATCAGGCTTGCACAAACTTTCAAGGGTAAGTTTTTAAGCTGTGGAATTTTAACTTTCACAAACCAATAACAACAGAAAAACTGTTTAGAATGTATGGATCATGTGTACAACAAAGGACATCCGCGGTCAAGTGTTGATTGATACCCTCAATCGACCCTTGATCAACACTCAGTTAATACTCGATGGACATCTCAATTGATACTCAGTCAACATTCAATCAACATCTTGATCAACCACTGATTGACAGTCAATCAACTGTTGGTTGATAGTCAGCCAACTCATATGTATTGATCGACACTCAATGGCATGTCTACAAAAATTAGTCAACTCTCGACTGACTTTTGACCAAGATGTTGATTGTGTTGATCAAGTGTCAACAGAGGTTTCAATGGCATGTCAATGAAGGAACCGATTAAGGATATCGATCGACACTTGACTGCAGATGCCTTTAGTACACATGATCAAATTGCATTACAACACATTGGTTGCTAGCACTATGAGATCTTCCTGGGGGTTGGAGATGTTTATAAAGAGAATCAACTAATGTGTTTAAAATGCCAATGTAAACAAAGGTTTTATTCACCAACTTAGAACTTAGAACTATCTTGTTATGTAT